TCCACGCAGACGCCCAGGCACTGGAGGACGTTGGGGTGCTGCAGGCTCCTGCGAGGGGAAGGGGGTTGCCTGGGTCAGGAAACAGCCCCTTCCATCCCACCCCAGCCCTCTGTCCCACCCCAGCCTCCCAGCAAAAGCAAACTGTTGCTTCAACCTCTTTGGTCTCAGTTTCCTTACTCCTTCCCCACATCCCCGCCGCAGGACCACCCCACTGTCTCCCAGCCCCTGAGCCCGCCCCCCAGGCACCTCCGTGCCCCTCCTTCTGGCTCACCACCCCCTCAGCCTTTCTTCCTGCCCCCCGACTCTTCCCCCTCCCCTGCCCTCCCTACAGGCCCAGCTCAAGCCTCCTCATCTCCTGGACTCTCTTCTCAGCCTCCTGCCGGCCTCCCTGCCTCCAGTCTCTCCCTTCCAGTCTGTCCCTGACCTGATGCCCACCTGCTCACGACCCTCCATGGCTCCCTGGTACCCTGGGACAGAGCCTGGCTCACTCCTCGGTCTTTCCTGCCCCTCTGCCTTCCCCAGTATCATTCTTCACGCCTGTGTACCTCTCTCCAAACTCACAGGTGCCTGCTTAGGCTCCAAGCCTCTTGCATGTACACTTCTCTCTGTGGAGAACACTCTCCTCTCATCAAAGTCCTCCTCATCCCTTAGTTTCAACATCATTTCCTCAAGATATGTCACTGTCCCCTCCAACACTGGGGGATGCCCCTCTTTTATCCTCACATTGTGGGTAAGAGTCAGGCTTGGGGGTCTGAATCCTGTCTCCTTCTTTCCCAAGTGTGTAACCTCACAGAAGTCATTTCACCTCTAGATCTGATCTAACACGGGAGCCACCGGCCATATGTGACAACTGAGCTCTCGAAATGTGGCAGAGGTAGCTGAGGAAAGACATTTTGAACTTGATTGCGTTTTATTTAAGACGAATTTAAATAGCCATATGTGGCTAGTGCTTGCCAGCACGGGCCTAGAGAGAGACAGGCAAGGAAGCAAGTAAAAGGATGAAATAATGACAAACTAGGATACGTGTTACGCAGAAAATACACAAGTTGACGTGACGGAGCATTCCAGGGTCTTCCTTAGGTGGGGGAGGGAGAGAGAAAGAGAGAGAGAGTGTGTGTGTGAGTGTGTATGTGTAAGGGAAGGCCTTTCTGATCTGAGACCCAGGAAGGGCAAGGGTTCCCACCATCTGAAACTGGGGATGGGTGAGGCAGGAGTGATATTCTAGACAGAGGGAACAGCAGGACGGCGGTCCTGCGGCAGGAAAGAAGCTGGCATGTGGGAGGGTCAGTGGGGAGACCGGGTGGCAAGGGGCGAGAGGGTTGGTGGCAGGAAGGGAACAGGGCTTGTGGGCTGTAGGGACCAGTGGGATTTTGTCCTGTGGGCCACAGAAAACCATGGGAGGTTTCAGAGGAAGGGGCTAATAAAATCTCTGGGCAAAGCTCACTTTTACAACCCTCTGATAAGAGGTCCCCGTGTATGCACCCTTTCCATGACAGGGCACTCACTACCCCACAGGGCGTTCATGTAACAAATGTTTATTTAATTCTTGTCTAGAAGCCCTTGGAGTGGAGGGGAGACCAGGCAGGGGAGGGACAGGGTCCTGCCTTCCCAGACCTCCCAGTCCAATGGGGGCAGGGGTGGGAGGACCCTGGTCTGTGATTCTCATTCTGTCCTTGCTCACGCACAAGCAGGGGCCTGAGGAAGGGAACCACCATGAGGTACCCAGTGCCTAACACAGGGTCATCTCGCATCCTCTCAGCTGCCCTCTACATGAGGCTGCTCAGACTTCCTGGACTCACTTTCCAGATGAAAATACTGAGGTTCAGAGTGGAGAGGGGCAGGTCACCAGCTCAGCTTCTGTGCTGTCCCCTCGTCTTCGTCACACTGCCTTCATTTCCCCGGCTCTGTCCCAGGGAAGAACCTGAGGCTCAGGGAGGGAAACTCTCTGGACTGAGTGGCACAGCCAGGAAAACGTAGATGGAGGATTCGAATCCAGATCTGACCCCACACTGCACTCCTTCCACTTCCAAATGTTACCTCCCTGAGGCACAAACTCAGATATCTGGGCCTTCCGAGCCCCACATCCACCAAGAAGTCCCCATACCTGTACGGCTGTGCTTCTGAGATGAACTTGCGCTGCTCCAGGGGCCCTGCGCTGGCTCGGAGCTCCTTTACCACCACCTGGGCCGGGGTGTAGTCCGAGAAAATCTCTCCCAGGATCACCTGATCAAGGGGGACCCAGGAGGCAGCGCCTGTGGTTTCCCCAGCCCCATCCCAGGGACCACCCTCCACCCCACCGTATGGCTCCCATCTTCCCCCTCTTTCCAGCCTCTTCCTTCAAATCCCACCACCCTCGTACTCCCACCAGACGCGGGGTTAGAGACTCACAGGCCCAGAGTCCGATGGACGCAGGGACGGGTGGAAGGATGGACAGACGGACGCGTGGAGAGCCGGATGGTGAGGCGGAGTGGTCAATGGAGTGAGGAGGGAGGCGCTGACCGACAGGTGGCGGGGGGATGGAGTGGACGGGAGTGGGTGAGAGGTGAACAGACGGGAGGGCAATGGGTGGGCTGAGGGGGGCAGGGGGACGAGGCAGGGGGCAGATGAGAAGTGGTGGGAGCAGGGGGGATGGACACAGAACAGGAGCATCGCCCTGGATTGTATGCACCCTCCACCGCCCACCCCCAGCCCCACTTACTTACCTTCCCGAACCAGCCACTCCCAATCTCCTGCAGGTAGCTGAGGTGCTGGCGGCTAAGGCCCAGGGGGGTGGTCATGTCTGGTGGGGGACAAAAGGGAGAGGCACCTGAGCCTCTCTCCCCTCCCAAGTGCCAACAACACCCCTCAATTCAGTGGGGACTGGGGTCAAAGCAGACACAGCAAATCTGTTTTCATTGGCTGCCCCAACATTCCACGATGAGATCTCTGCCTCCTCATTGGCTGCCCACAAGGTTCCAACGACCAATCTGTCCTTCCCTTTGGCACCCCAAGATCCTATGACATGACTTCAGCCTGCTGTCGGCTACCTCTGACATTAAGATCTAGGCTGACCTCACCATTCATTGCCCCACAAGAATCCCCAAATCTGGTTGTGGATGAAGCAATGGCTTCTACCAAGATGTTCTCTGACTTCCTTCAGGCTGCTTCCAAGATTCCGGGGCTCCCACCTCTGCCTTTCCCCTTGGCTGCCTTGGGCCTCTGCTCCCTGTTCCCTGAGGGAAAACGCTCAGGGCCTTCCACCCTGTCCCGTGGGATCATGAGGCCCTAGTCAGGGTGCGGGGCAGTACCTGAGTGTGATGGCTGCGGGGCAGGCATCGGCAGGGAGACTTCGGCCAGAGGGAGAATGTAGACATCAGGCAGCGACTGTGAAGAGGAGGTCTCTTCGGCGGGGGGAGTGTACTCCCCGGAGCAATCCTCCCCTTCTGGGTTCTCAAACTCCTGGGGCCGGGAAGGGGGAGGGGTGAGAGAACACAGGGCTGAGACATGCCGTGGTCCTTCTCATCAATACTATCCCCATCTTTCTCGTAACTGTCCCCCAATCCCAGTCCAATTCCCATCCCAAGGCTCTGGACCTTGCCATAACTTCAGGCCTGAAGGGCTCTCAGACTCGCTACGCCGCTGCCCCTCCTACCACCCGGACTGAGGGGAAAAGGACTTGCTGGCGTCTTCCTCCCGACCTTGAATCCCCTCATGCACCTCACCTTGAAGCCGACATCGCCCCGTTTGCAGCACAGACAGGTGAGGAGGAGGAAGATGAAGGCCAGCAGGCCAGAGCAGGAAATGAGGACCACGGCATAGGGAGGAGCCAGAGGGGCCCGGCCCAGGGCGAATCCATCTGTGGGCACAGGACTGGGCTGGGGTCCCGGCTTCAAGGCCCTGGCTCCCGGATTCCTTGCCCCTCCTCATCCAGCTAGTCTTCACTACAACTCCCATGATGCTCTGCAACCAGGGCCCCTTGGCAGAGGAGCCGGGTGGCACAGGGCATTGTGGGAGTTGTAGTTTGGGGCCTTCTCAAGTGGTTGGGTTGGGGGTGGGGGTCCCTCCTCTCGCCCCAACCTGAGACTCCCCCCCATCACCTCACCCCCAGGCTTGGATGAATTTCAGTGAGGATTGAGGGAAGGAGGAGTAATAGTGGAGCCTGGAGCTCTCAGAATTTAAAACACGCTCCCACAACAGCCTTCTTACCCCCTCTTCGGGGGAGAGAATGAGCCCCCGGCCGCAGGCTGGGAGAAGATGCTTGCCCCATGCTGGAGCCTCCTAGTTACGGGGGTTGAGGCTTGTTTCTTTTAGGGACGCTTGGAGCACACACATGTCCTCTGTTCCCAGCCCAAGCCCCTGAGAAGGCAGCTCCGCAAGCCTTGGGTCTCCCCCAAAGCTAGAGACAGCCTCCAATGCTGTGTCCCCCTTAGAAACAGTATTCCTCCCCTCTGTCCCCAATTCTCCCAGAGGCCCTGTCCTTCCCCGGCTCCCTGCACACACCTGCACACATGCGTGTGCACACACACATGTTGCCCGAACGGACCCTCTCCCCACCCAGCCCCCAGCCTTCCTCCCACAGGCCCTGCTAACACAGGCACCGTCCCCGCGGCTCCCCAGGCCCTGGCTCGCTGCGGGAAGACGCCACACAGGTGATGGAGCCAGAGCCCCGCAGACAGACCTCCAGGGCAGGCCGGGGTGGGGGTGGGGGCCGCTGGACAGCCGGATGGCCGGACAGACTTACCTGGGTGGGCCGGGGACGCCAGGCAGCCGGAGGTGGAGACGGCCGCGAGGAGGATGAGGGCGCCGGGGGCAGGCATCTTGTCGAGGATGGAAGGGAGGTGGAGGTGGTGGCGGCTGGGGAGGAGGGGGGGGCGGGCCCTCAGCCCCCAGCCATGGGGACCCGCGCGACCCTGGCCTCCCCCCAGCCCAGGAGAGGGGCAGGAGACTCAGGACAGGGGGAGGGAGGGGCTGCTTACTGGCTCAGGTACCCCCCTCCCCCTCTTTGAAGGGACAGACAGATGAAGGGATGGAGAGGCGGACAGAGGAGAGGAGCTGGGGAGCCGGGGTTGCTGGGGGGGGGAGAGGGTAGGATGGGGGGGAGAATGAGGGCCCCGCCCCCGAGGGCAGCCGGGATTGGGGGAGCAGAGAGCCTGTCAGAGGAAGGGTGGGAGGAGGGAGGATGGAGGGAGGATGGAGCGTCGTCATGGCAACTGGCTCCCCAGTAGCATTGGCTGCCAGGAGGGAGGGGAGGGGGAGGGACAGACAGGGACCAGCAGACCCTTGTGTGGGGGGGACACAGGGCCCACAGTGCCTGGCCTGGACACTGCTGTGACATGCTACCAGCAGGGACACGTGTGCTCCGCGCCACGATGCAGATGTCAGGCAGGCACACACAGCCCACACATGGCTGACACACGTCGCAGAGACCCTCATAGACAAGCACATCACATACAAAGGTGGACAGCTATCGGCAGACGGGGACACGTACACGTCACACACAAAGACGCAAGGATGATAGGCTGCACTAAGAACGCACAGGCAGGCCGGCCCCCTGCACAGATGCACCCGGCCACGCAGGAACGTCAAATGCATCACAAAGACCCACACATGCCACAGACAAAGTAAAGCCCCAAATCCACAGACACACACGCCACAGACAAAGATCCACACAGACACCACGGTGACGTGTCAAGGTACAAAGTCACGAACACAGACATTCCACAGACAAATGGGCAACAAAGAAGACCCATAGACACACGCATCACATACACAGATAAACACACATGCACATCATACAAATACGCAGACATCACTTGCACGGAGACATACACGTGACACACACTAACACAGACACAAGTATACCATGCACAAATATACACAGACACACAGCAGATACATGGAGAGACCCGCACATCACATATGCAACTACATACACACAACACACACACACATATAGATATACATCAAAGATACACACTTGTCTCACACAGACCCATTTCACTCACATGAATACACAGAGACACATGTCACACACCCAGATACACATGTACAAGCACAACTCACACATGGATATAGATGCACGGCACATTCAAAGACTATACAAAGCTACAAAAGTCACCTACAAAAATACACATAAACATATTACACTGATACATACATATTACATATACACAGTGACACACATTTTACATACAAGAAACACGCAGACACACACAACACAAGCACACACATTGAACACACATTGCATACCTAAACATACCTGGGCACACACATCACAGATGTACACAAATTTCACACAAGGTTACAAAGACACAGTACCCCACCGTAGTCACATATCACATACACACAGGCATACAGAACACATACAAAGATACACACAGACACACGCATCACAAATACCCACATTTCCTATGAGGTTACGTAGTCATTACACAACATAGGCACTTGCCTCATACAAAAGATACATGATCATAGTTTATTTATTTATTTTATGAGCATTTACTGCGCGCCAGGCATTGTTCTCAGCGCTTTACACATATTACTTTTAAATCCTGACATCTGCCTCCGAGACAGGTTCTTTTATCATTCCCATCGTACAGATGAGGAAACAGGCACAGCGAGGAGCAGACATCTGCCCCAAGGCACACAGCCGGTAAGTGGCAGATCGGGGACTGGAACTCGGTCCGTCAGGGACACAGACAAAACAGACAAGGACGCACACATCACGTGCCAGGCCGCCGCCATCTCGGGGTCACCCTCCCCCACCCCCGCCCCCGCACAGCACCCCGAGCTGCAGACACACCGGAAGCACGGACGCCCACCCTGCGCGCGGACGTCTCTGTAGTCAGTGAGCCCTTGCGATGCGTCCCTCCCGGCTGAGGCTGGGCGGGAGCTGCGCATCTCAGGCGCAGTCTCACTACACACAGCGGAGGCGACCCAGACACCCCCTCCCCAGAAGGCCCCCCCCCGCCCCCCAGTAGGGGGCGAGGACCCACCGGGTCCAAAAAGCGCAGCCGGCGCGCTCAGAACAGGCGACCCGAGGGGAGGGGGAGGGGGATAGGTTCAGTGAGGCTCATTGGAGAAACTGAGGCAGGTTCATCAAGCCAGGAAGGGTGGTAGGGAGTGGGTGCCGGGACCGGGGCTGCAGGGTGGACTGACCATATGCAGGTAGAGAGTACGGAAGTGGGGGCTGGGGGATAAGGAAAGATGCAATGATCTGCCAGGGTGGCTGAAGGGCACAGACCCTGGAGAAAGCAGAGGCTCATGGGAAATGTAGTCCCATCCCTGAGACTTGTGGGAAATGAAGTTCTGGTTCATCCAGAAGGGAGGCTCGGGTTAATCGTCACCTTCCCCCGCCCGCGCCCCCACCCCGAGGAAGCGGCGGGTAGGTGAAGGTAGCAGGAGGCGGGGCACAGCCGCCTGAGTCTTTGGAAATGACGTGGGCAGAACTCTTGAGTCCTAGGGAACGGCACAGGTGGGGTTGAAGTCCTAACTCTGTCCCTGATTTGCTGTTAGTTCATTTATTCACTCAACAGACGTTCATTAAACCCACTGTGCTCAGCCAGGCCCTATGCCAGAATTTGGGGGTGCAGCACGGAACAAGTCAACCCCTTCCCTGCGTTGACTTTGGGTGTGGGCAGGTGCATGTCACAGGGACTTGTAGAAAGTCCTTTAGAGTTTTTCAAACTAAGAACAGTAAGCCATTACCGAGGGCTGGCATCAAGCTTTTGGGTTGTGACCAGAGTTTTTTGAAAAATAAGATAGAATAATCTAGAACATCCGGAGGAAATATATATATATTCCTCCCGCCCCTCCATGGGTCACAGGAAAAGAAACAAGAGAGTACACGGTAATAGCTGAAATGCCATCTGAGAGAAAGTGACATGAAACTGAGGCCCATGGGAATGAGCCAGAGAAAAGGAGAGGGAACAGTGTGTTTGAGCAGAGGGAACTGCACGTGCAAAGAGGAAGGTAGGAGGTGGCTGTTGGGGAGGGGGAGGAATGAGCACAAATATTTAGTTTGTTCTCATCGCAGGCCAGGCACTGATGCACACCCACCCTCACCGGCCCCTTCCTAAGATGGAGGCAGACCCAAACACACCAGCCTCCTATTCACTTCTTGAGGCCCGAAGGGCTGTCCAGCCTCAGAGCCACCCCCAGTGCTATTCCCTCTGCCCTAGTACTCTTTGCCTTGCTCTCCTCCTACCTCTCTCCTTCCCCTCACAGATCTGGGCTTTACTGTCACCTTTCAAGGAAAGCCTCCCCTGACTCCTCCCCCAACCTAAATTACACCCCTCCCATCCTCTTTCTTATTGCATTTAGCACTGTTAGAAGTTGCATGTCTGTGTTCCAGTTCCAGGGAAGTCCATGAACTCTACAATGTAAATGGGTGAATTGCATGGTATGTGAATTTTGTAATAAGCTGTTGAAAATTGCTTCAGAGGGCTTCCCTGGTGGCACAGTGGTTGAGAATCTGCCTGCTAATGCAGGGGACACGGGTTCGAGCCCTGGTCTGGGAAGATCCCACATGCCGCGGAGCAACTAGGCCCGTGAGCCACAACTACTGAGCCTGCGCATCTGGAGCTTCTGCTCCGCAGCAAGAGAGGCCGCGATAGTGAGAGGCCCGCGCACCGCGATGAAGAGTGGCCCCCGCTCGCCACAACTAGAGAAAGCCCTCACAAAGAAACGAAGACCCAACACAGCAAACATTCTTGGGGGCCGTCTTGGAGGCTGCCTGCTGCAATCTGGGACCAATATCACATGGGGTGCAAATGACTGAATATTATCCAGCCCTGTTTGTCTGTGACACTCAGCTTTCAGACCTATGGCTGAAATGTTCCCAGTGGCCAGTGACACTCCTAACAACCCCCGGGGGACCTGCACTTTTCCCGTGACCTTGATGCCCTTTCTACATCCATCTGGCTGTCCCCATGTCATCTGGCTTTGAGCTTGTGTGTTTTCACGTCTGCTGTTAATTTAAATGAGGCAGAGTCTACCTTCTGAATGCAGAGAATGAAAAGTTGTGGGTTTTGGGCTTCCCTGGTGGCGCAGTGGTTGAGAGTCCGCCTGCCGATGCAGGGGACGCGGGTTCGTGCCCCGGTCCGGGAAGATCCCACATGCCGCGGAGCGGCTGGGCCCGTGAGCCATGGCCGCTGAGCCTGCGCGTCTGGAGCCTGTGCTCCGCAACGGGACAGGCCACAACAGTGAGAGGCCTGCGTACCGCAAAAAAAAAAAAAAGAAAAAAAGTTGTGAGTTTTATCGTACCTTTAGTATAAAGGGAAAAGCGTGCCTGCCTACAATGCTCCTTTGGTTTGACAAAGGCATCTCATCAAGTATGCCTTTCAGGAATTCAGAGCTGGCAGTTAAAACATGATTAGCAGCAGATAGAATTCATGGGCATGATTACATTGCTGGGTGGGGCTGTAGGGCAAAAGGGCCCCGGTTTTGTTTTGTTCTGTTTAAATCTGGTGCTGGATAATTGGTGTGTGTACTTAGAATTAATGCATGAAACTGTTCACTTCTGAAATGTGTTCTCTTACATATGTACTTGGTAGTCCAAACTTTATAAAAAATTTTATTGCCAGGGAAGCAAATTATCGAATAAGATAACTCATTAGTGTCTCAAGCTTTTTAGAAACAGAAGTGCCTGGTGGTTATGTGAGGCAATTATACTCCAATAAAGATGTTTAAAAAACAAAAAAGAAGAGCCTGGTGGTTAAGAGCCTGGGCTGTCTGCCTGCTTTTGAATCACCAAGGCTGTGTGGCTTTGGGTAAGTTACTTAACCTCTCTGACCCTTAATTTGTACATCTATAAAATGAAGATAATGCCTTTCAGGCAAAATTGCCTGAGATAGAGAGGAAAGCATTTAGTAGAATAGCTGTCACAGAGCAGATGTTGAATACACGATACCACTGTTGTGTTTGTCATAGTTGTGATAAACGGGTAAAGAGGTGGAAAATGCAGAACCACTATGCCAATAAAAAATGGTCAAAGGACATGAACGGAAAAGTCGCACGGCAGAAATACAGTGGATTACAAGGCTGTGGAAAAGCATTTACCCTCAGTATTAATTGTCTTAATGGTACGTATTGCTTTCTGAAATGCCTTATCCACTTAGTTATTTACTTATTTACTGTTCATTCATCTCCCCTCCCTTCATCCACTAGAACGAGTCTGTTTTGTTCATCGCTGCCTCTCCAATGCCCAGAACTGTGCCAGCCTTGTAGCAAGTGGTCAATAAATATTTACTGACTCAATGAATGAATATAGAAATGAAAGCAAGACTTAACTTTCTCTGACCAATAGTCAAGCTCTAATAAAATTATAGCATTCAATAGGGAAGATGTGGTGACACAAACTCTGCCTTACTGTGCTTATTGTAAACAAGTGGAGATTATTTTAATCTTTCTAGAAACTGAGTTGGCACTCGTACCCAGTAATTCCGTTTCTGGGACTCTGTGGGAAGGAAATAATGTAAGATCTGCACAAGAGTTTGTGCACAAAGATTTTCTCTGTTGCATTATTTGTATCAGTAAAAACAAATAGGTACAAAAGATATTTATAATAAATTTATATATTTATAATAATAAGCTTTAGAGGAAAGGCTCTGTAAATCATGGAATAGCAATGTTATGGAATATTATGCAATCATTTTAAATGAAAGGGAAACATGTTTTTGTGATATATTAAGTAAAAATAAGCAGAAAGTGGAAGTGCTGTGTAATGTATTCTCAACACGAAATGGAAGAAAACGTTTCAATTTTAAATTATTGGAAGTCTCCCTAGCCAATACTGGGGTCAGAATCACCAGGGGTTTTTTCTTTTCCATCTTTTGCTTATCTGCAGTTTCCCAATTTTCTACACAAACATGGATGCGATGTTTTTGGTAACCACAAAGAAAGAAAATCATTTTCAGAGAGAAGTCTTTACTTCCTCTGACCAGTCAGGGATTCAGTTCTGGTGATGGTGGAAGGAATCCAAGCTGCAGAAACAGCGCTGGGCACAAACATAATTATCCCAGAGAAACCTTGGCAATGAACCAAATGTCCAACAAGAGGGAATTGAGGAAGTAAATCATAATCCACCCAGAGAAACCTAGGCAGGCATGAAAAGTTATGTTTATGAAGAGCCTGAAGCACCATGTCAAATATTTGTGTTGAAAACCGTGTGTAAAATAGCAAGATATAAAATGACACATGCAAAAAAGAAAAAAGGAAAGAATGACATATGTAGTGTCATCCCCTCTGTGTATGTTTGTATATACACTTATGTGTGTGTGTGTGTATATATATATATATATATATATATATATATATATATACACATACCCACACACACGTATACATACACAGAGAGTATTTTTTATATATATAACGCACATACATAACATAGAGGCACAGAGGGGATTTTATATACACACATACAGAGAGGAATGAACATATATATATAATGT